TTTAAAATAATAGATTATTTTCGACTAATTGTTAAATTATTTTCGAATATTCGATTATTAGATTAATCGATTATCTGATTAAGTCGATTATATCGATTAATCAAAAATCCGAAGAAGCAGTAAAAAAAAAAAGAATCGCTTCATATATCACTAGAATTAAAGTTTAATAAAATAATCGAAATCGAATATACTCAATTAATCGATTAATAAAAACGATTATGTAATTACTGAATAAAAAAAATAATCGACTAATCGACCTACTAGGGATACGAGTAATTTGCAGGAACCTCGTGGAGGACATGTATGATGACATACGAAAAGACGTGAAGTGCGTTTGTACTGAGATGAATGGGAGGTATTGGATACGTCATTTTGAAATAAATTAATGTAAGTTTCTTATTCCTGAGTTTTTTTATTTCATTATTTTAATTATAGGCATTTAAAAAAAGTATCAACTTAGGATGCACCATGTATAGCCAATCTCATTGTTTAATGTGTCTGATATCTTTTTTTGTAGTTCAGTCGTCGATATATCTCTAGCAAAAAATCGCTCGCAGGTGTGGCTGTACCCTAGACATTTTCAAATCAAAATAATGTACTGCATTATTTAATCCAATTAATTAAAAAAAAAACTATATTAAAACTATTTATTAAAAAAAGTTACGGAATAGGTATCTTAACATAAAAAATAAAAGGCTTTCTTATGTGTCTTCGCCATATGGATTTTTATTATTAGGTTTTACTAGTATTAACATTTTCCCAGCTAATAAAAGTTTCCATTTCGCGCAGCTTTTCCGCAATGTCATCATATAATATAACGAAGTAGTGCATAGCAACCTAAGAAATGTAATATACAATTCTAGTTAAAAATATATGTGCTAAACCAAATTTTAACTAAAATAAATGATTTTAAAAAAATAATTAAAATTTTATACCGGGTGTTCGCGCAAAAAACTTCGATGGGTTAGTTTCTGTCAAAATTTGAGTTGGAATCTTGAATTTTTGAAGTTCATAGGGGACGTAATTCCATAGACAGCTTTATTTTTCATATTGAATATAATATAAATTAAAATATCCACAAAATAATGTAAATTTTTAATGCGGATGTAGGGGAGGCCGTTGTTAAATGTATTGACTATGTGAATATAAAAAATATACACGGTGTTTCTCATGCGACAAAATTCAGGTGATTGCTCGTATGAAATTAAGATGGGTCTTTCCTATAACAAAATTTTCTCAGCCCACCCCTTTCCGAGATATCACCCTAAAATTGAGTTATTTTTTTTCTAAAATTTCAGTAAAGCTAGAAACTTGAATTTGAAGTCATAGATCGGAACAACAATGGTGCAGAAAATACTGGTTAGACTTGCACCTATTCGCTCCGTGCGAAGTCATGGAAAGGGAAGCAAAAGCGATACTAGCGCTAGCTGCGGATAATTCGTGCATTTTAGGGGGATATTTTTTAATTTTGGCATATCAAATACACGTATACATTTTACTTTTTTTCAAAAAAGTAGGTAAAAACAACACAATAAGCAACCGGAGTTGCTGTGTTGAAAATTGTACAAATACTAGCAAAAAAAAACAGTGAAACTTATATAACAAATTTCACTAACAAAGTGGAAATTAAATCAAAGAAATAAATGGATAGGTGTAAAATAAGAAGAAAAATTACCTTTATTTTTGTGATAATAACAGTAATGCTGGAAATAGTAGACATCAGAAACTAGAAAGTTTTTAAATAAACAATAAATTATCATTTTACGATGTTCTTTAATATCCCTTTATTCTTAAATGTTCATTCAGCAAGGACTACATTTCAAGATTTCTGCCGTTGATTATAATATTTGACTGGTATGCAATTTTGTGACTTACTGATCGGAAACCAGTTTTATTCATTCATTCTATGTTTTCTTTAGAACAAAAATGAAAATATAAGTAGCGATCCTTTTTATACATTTTAACTTCACGCTATTATAAATGGTGTCTTCAATGACAACTTATTAGACTTAGGCAACTTCTCATACATTTTCCAGTAAATACTGTTGCCTGCCTATATTTTATTATTGATTTTTAATGATTATACATAATTTTCTTCAATTTAAGCGTGAAAAATATATAATAATAATAAATTAATGTTTTAATTGTTTTATAAATCCATATACTTTTATTAAAACTAACATATATACTTTTTATTTACGAATTCTAATAAAAATTGTATTTGTCAGTATAGGCAGAAATACTCCTTTAATACCAAAACAAATTGGCGCTGCTGTCGCGCACGGAGCGAATACACATTCATCACTTCATAATAATTGAACCCAATAATGTGATTATCGTTTTGCAAAATCAAAGATTCATCGTCTGTACCTGGAAATGACATGCACAAAAATGGCTCTTTAGCTTAATTTAGATTACATTTTTTAATGCAAGAAAAGTTTCAAATGTACTTTAAAACTTTTTTAAACTTTTTAACATTATCTTTGAATTAGAACTAAATAATTAGAGTTATATTTACACACTTTTCATAATTGGTCAAAAATTCAAAATCAAACTAAAGCGGCCTTAAATTTTTAATTATTTTTAGGGTTCCGTACCCGAAGGGTACTAAGGCTCCGCTGTCCGTCTGTCTGTCAGCGGGCTGTATCTCAGGATCCGAAATAGGTTCAGTTGACATTTTCACAGAATGTATATTTCTGTTGCCGCTATAACAACAAATAATAAAACTAAATTAAAAATTAAAGGGGACTCCCCTACTAGAAACGTGTTATTTTTTGGCTTTTTGTGCTCGAACTTAATAAAGGCAACAAGTAGACGCTTGAAATGTGTACATACATTGTATTAAATCTTGTACGATAGTGCGGAACCCTTCATGCGGCAGTCCGACTCGCACTTGGCCGGTTTTTTGATTCTAAAAACAATTGAACACAATTTTCAGGGTTAAATTTACAAAAAAAAAAATCGGGGACAGCACTGTTGGACCCTTCTTTAACGGGGAGTATTCCATATTCGCCCCATCCGCCGCTGTAATACAGTATTGTCCGAAATAAAAGTACTGAACTTGTAATTTTTACTTTCCTGTCTGTATACAGATAAGGAAAGTATAGGAATCATGATTTTTTTTGACCTCAAGTTTTCGACATATTTTTACGTTTTGGGATCCCCTGAATCCGTTTTGACTATTTTCGCGATAATGTCTGTGTGTATGTGTGTGTCTGTATCCACGATAACTCATGAACGGATACAAAGAAAAACACCAAATTTTAAACTTAAGCTTTATTCTGGCCTACCGTGAACAGATTACATTATGGACAGAGTCGGAACATCTGGGGGTACTTTATAGGAGATCATTTTTATATTTTATAAAATATATTTGTTAGTTACGTTTAGAAAAGAAAATTCTTCAAATAAAAGTTACTTCTTATATTATTCTCTATAATTTTTGTTTTATACAAAATTTTTCTAAAATGGTTCGTATTCGAGAAATTTGACAAAATGTAAAAAAATCAAATTTTTATGAAAATTGTTCAAATAAAAGTTGTTTGTGATATAATTCTATATAATTTTTGTCCCATACATAATTTCACTAAAATGGACCGTATTCGAGATATTAGAGAAAATGTGTAAATTTCGAATTTTAAAGAAAACTCAAAAACGGATAAAGAGAAACATATTAAATTTTAAACCTAAGCTTTATTTCCGCCTGGGGTGAACTAATTAGATTTTGGGCAGAGTCGGAACATCTGGGGGGTACTTTATAGAGGCTCGTTTTTATATTTTATGGAATATATTAGTTATTTTTGTTTGGAGAAGAAAATTGTTCACATAAAAGTTACTTCTAATATTATTCTCTATAATTTTTGATCAATATAAAATTTTTCTAAAATGGTCCGTATTCGAGAAATTTTTCAAAATGTAAAAAATTCTGATTTTTAAGAAAATTCTTGAACTAAAAGATATCGACCTCTTTAATTTTTGTTTTTTAAATGAACCGTAATGGAAAAATTGGAGGAAAAGTATAAAATTTAAATTTTTTAGCATTTTCGTTGGCAATGAGTGTATACAGAAAAATGTTTCGAGTTAGATGTATGTGCAAAATGTATATATTAAGTTTACCTCTAAATATTTGCAGATGTGCTACAATAGGTTGTACAAAATAACCGAGAAAGCCTGTAATAACTAGATAGGAAAGTCATGTGTTGGACAAATCAGATTTTTATATTTATTTAAGGAATGCATATTATTGATACTTTAGTACATGTTCCAAATGTGGACCAGCTCGTTCAAGACAACAATGTTCTAAGTTTCTTGTCTTGTTATAGAATAAGGGTTGTCTCAGAAACACTTTTTTCACAGTTCTTAACACCGTTTTTAAGAATTAGGCTCTACTAATTATTTGTTTAAGGTTTATTTGACAGGTCTATATTAGCTAACTTGGGTATGAGAGCGGAAGTAAAAAAACACCGCCTACTTAGCTTCAGTACTGTTCATTTCGGACAGTACCGTATATACTGGGTGTCATTTACGTAAGGACGAAGTGGAGAGTAGTGGATTAAAAGTAGGTGAGGGCCTCTGTGCCGTCTCATACCCCAAAAATTCCCAGATTCCAATTATTTTAAATCATCCAAAGTTTTCACGCGGACACCCGGTATAACTTTTTATGGTATTTGAAAATTTCTTTAATCCAAAGTTGAAAATTTATTTTATCAATTTTGACACATGGTTTCATATAAACCTTCGTGTTAAGAAAAATTAATTAAATTAATCAAATTGGAATTAAGATACCCAAATTTGATTAACAATTATATTGAAAGTGAAAACGATGTGTACTAATATTTTTGAGAGAAAAAATATATTTTTAAATGAAAAAAAAAAAAAAAAAATGTTAATATTTGGAATTATACCTATTTTAATTAACATAAAATTGTATCTCTTACCATTTCAAAAATAGCTATGCACATTTTATTTTTCGCAGAATTTATTTTTGTATTTCATATGTATTAATTCACACTTTTTTGAATCTTTTCCAATAACATCTCTATTCGGTCTTTCATTATTGGTTGACCCCTCTTAGTTTTTCTAGAAAGTCTTTTAGATTTAATCGATTTTTCTTTTCGATATTTTTTAAGAGCTTCCTCTCTTTCAGCTTTTACTTTCAAAAACTCTTCCCGTTTCTTTTGTTTCTCGTCCTTTAATCGATTAAAATGTTCTTGCGCCTTCTGAAAAGGTTTTTTCTTCTTTATTAAGGTGTCGTCTCCACTTGATTTATTAACTTCAACAATTTTAGTAATACTGGTAGTGGGCGTTGTGTTTGTAGGCAGATTATCATCATCTGAATCATGATTTCGAGGATCATCATAGATTCTTGTCACATCAAATTTTTGATCAGGATCTTTGACTTGGCGATAATAATCTTTTAAAACAGCTTTCTTTCTTGTATCTTCCCATTGTTGCACTTTAAATTTTTTACTGTATTTCTTCAAACGATATGTTTTTTTGTCAAAAGGTTTCTTGGTTGAATTAGTCACGTTTTCTTCAGAAGAATCTTGCACTTTTCGGATGTTCTGGGATTTTCTTTTGTCTCCAAAAGAATTTTTATTTTCTGCAACATTTGTGTGTTTGGATTTTGAATAAAATCCCTTCTTCTCGCTGGATTTTACGAAAAAATTGGAGTGAATGTCTTTATTAACTTTTTCCGAATTTCCTTTCTTGATTTGATTTTTAGCCATTTTGATTTATTTTCTTATACCTGGAAGTGATTGAGTATATCAGAAGTGCACCGTGTAATAATTATATTAAATTTAAATTTTAGTTATAAAAGAATAAATTTCGAGCAGTAATTTGTAGTAATTTTATTAGGCAAAATTCCATGTTTGCGTAATTATTATCTGTCTGTATTCGAACATTAAAATAGTTGTATGTCATGAGCAAGAATTTTATTCGAAACATATTCAATAATAAGAAATAAGTATATTTTTTACAAATTTTGTAAAATTATGTTTTTAATTTTATCTGGGACAGGTACTCTAGATACTTGAGAGAATGTGTTGCATGTTGCATCAGTTCATAATCAGAGGCCACCCCTGCATAATTCCAAGAAAATGATTGTGGTATTGCTTAGCGCTTGCATCATCCTCGACAAGAAACAATTCACCGATTCAATTTCAAACAAGTCTTATAATTCTAGCCAATCAAAATACGACACAAAGACCCGAAAAGGCATATCTGAAAGACAATTGGTCAGACGCCGTCACAAAGATAAAACCCGGGCATTTTCTGCTTTCGCCGTCAGAAGTCTGAACTCAGAACGATGTATACATTGCACCAATGCACATCTCATTTTAATTTGCTCCCGGCAAGGGCCGGCACATTCATAAAAATGTAATGCGAAATACATCAAAAATGTGAAATATTTTCTGAACAAATCAACAAAAGTTAATATAGTATATTGCTCAATGTTGTGATATGTTTATCTTTTGAAAGACATATGATGTAATACAACTGTTTAACATATCCCAGGCAGCACACATTAGTATAACTAACGTATTTTATACGTAATACTCGTTTAATTTTGGTATTGGTTGATTCCGTATACGTTTACAGTTTACGATTATTATACATGCCGTATTTTACAAGATATATTATACGTTTTTTGTATACATCCTATGGTATATAATTGTAAATTTTTCTTCGTTTAAATGTAGTTAACAATATACGACTATTTTTAGTTTGCGATGAACTATTTATATACAGTGGGCCTAAATATACGTTTAGGTTTATTTAAATTAAATTCGTATAAATTTACATATTATTGCAATATGTGTTCTTCGTTTATAACTCCCGTTTAAATTTCGTCTTGGTTGATTTTTTAAACGTTTACCATCTACCATTTTTATACTTAACGTTCTTTAACAGATAAATTAAACGCTTTTGTTTGTGGATACTAGTTAATATGTATACCTATATTATTCTACGTTTAAATATAAGTCACCTTAAACGCATATTACTAGTTTACGATGAACTAGTAGACAGAAGTAAATAATATGTATATATTTAGGTTTATTTATATTAAAAGCTTATAGATATATTTATTTACATTACACCATATTTTTTTAAATATATTACCTGTAATATTTATAACAAATTCCCCATTGTACCGATTTCAAACACCCGAACATTTAAATAACCCGCCAATAACCATGGTGGGGTGGACTAGTCCATGTCGTTTCAGTGAGTGAGATTCGGGATGTGCTTTAAGCTAAGTCGGGCTGGTCCAAAGTGCGCCTAGTGCAGAGAATCGAGAAGGGAGTAAAGGTACCGGCTAGTGATGAGCAATATGTCACAGTCGGTGATTTTTTCACAGTGATTGACCGATCACACTCACAACCTATGATTGAGCCACCACTAATAACAGTGATTAACAATCACTTTTGATTCACAATGACCTGCGATTTATGTACCGCGACTGTCTTACTGGCGCTGATACTACACGCCGTGCACGCTTTACGTCGACCTAGAGAGCAGTGATTCTGTGGCAGTGATCGATGCATGATCTATTTCGTTTCACAGTCTCACGTCTACGGTTCGTTCATTTAGTTCGTTTGGTTTTGCGTTCGTGTTTTTACTATGCACCGCTTATTCCGCGAGTAGAGTGATTTGGATGGTGTGACCCGACATACAAAATAAAGGGCGCTTTCGTTGATGCAGTCATTAGTTTGTGGCTGTGATTTATTCCTTTCTAAGTTTTGAAAATAATAAAATGTCGAATTCAAAGAAAAGAAAATCAAGCGAACTTTGGAATTTTTTTGATCCACTAGATGAAGTTTTTGCTAAGTGTAATATTTGTTCAACTAAATTATCATATAAAACTAGTATTTCAAATCTTCGGCGACATTTGCAGAGCAAGCACCCCACCGTAACTGTACCAGTTCCTTCAATGAAAAGTAGTGTTAATACCGTCAGTCATAATATAAATAATACTGAAACTTACAATAATCCTCAGCAGGTAAAATTATTTATAAAATATTATTTAGATTTCACATTTTAGAGTAATGAAAATACCGATGTCCATGCAGGTCCGAGTAGCTCGACAAATGAAGAAAAAAATATAAATCTTAAAAGAAAGAGGAATAATTCCGGTCAACTACAAATATCATCGTTTGTATCGAGACCACTTGTTTTAAACCGTAAGGAATGTATCGATGGTAAATTGATTTCACTTTTTACAAAAAGTTTTCAACCATTTAGACTGGTGGAAGAAACTGCATTTAAAGATTTTGTTAACGGCTTAAACCCCAATTATGAGTTGCCAATCAGGCATATGATTTCCCACACTATGATACCCGCTATGTTTGAGAAATGTAAGATACGCGTGCGAGACCTAATTAAAGAAGCAAAAAAAGTGTGTATCACAACAGATAGTTGGACATCTCGCAACAACGATGGATACACAGCAGTTACAGCTCATTACATGGACGATAACTTTGTAATGAAGTCAGTTCTTTTGGAATGCTCCAATATTACTGATCACCATACATCAGAAAATTTGGCCAAAGAACTTCAAAGAATTGTGTCGGATTGGGGAGTTCATGATAAAATATTATTAGCTGTATCAGACAATGCAGCAAACATAAAAAATGCGATCGATACCAAATTAAAATGGAAGCATCTTGGTTGTGTAGCTCACACAATTAACTTAATAGTAAAGGATGGCTTAAATTGTGACGAGACAGTAACAACTACAATCGGAAAAGTAAAATCAATCGTTGGTTTTTTTAGAAGAAGTACTATATCTAATCAAAAGCTGCTAACATCAAAAAAACCAAGGTAATAACAATCCATTAAAGCTAATCCAAGACACTCCAACCAGATGGAATAGTACATACTACATGTTAACTAGATTTGTACAACTGGAAGATGCAGTTAAAACAACAGTTGCTTTAATTAATACCAAACTTCCTGTTCTAAGTCAAAATAAATGGCAATTAATAAAAGAACTTGTCAAATTCTGAAACCATTTGAATCGGTAACAAAAACATTTAGTGGCCAATCATATGAAACAGCATCTATTGTTATACCCATTGTAAATGGCATATTTAATATTTATGTAAAACTACAAGTAACAGATTTTATGGATTGCATTAAGATTGTACTGAAGCAATTCGTTAGTGGGATCAGTGAACGATTGGGCAAAGTAGAAAAAAGCAATACTTTATGTACTAGTACTTTTTGTGATCCAAGATTTAAACACATATCATTCCGTGAGAATAGTACTTTAGAGATAATTAAAAAAGCAATAATCGCAGCGGTAGCCGAGAAGTATACAGCAGAACTTTGCGAATCACACAGTGAGGCTAATGCCGAAATAAGGCATGACGACGCAAAATCCAGGGACGTTGACGAATTGTCAATTTGGTTTGCATTTGATCAAGCTGCAGCAATCATTGTACCACAAGGAACTTCCACATCTAAAGCAATTATTGAAGTCCAACGGTACATGGAATCTGGAATTATTCCAAGGCAGCAAGATCCTTTACAGTAGTGGAGAAAAAATAAATATATGTACCCACACCTTTCCCTTGTTGCCCAAGAAAGATTAAGTGCCCTCTGTACGTCGGTACCATGCGAACGCCAATTTTCAACAGCAGGACTGATAGTGTCTGATAGGCGAACTCGTTTGAGCCCGAAAAAGGTCGAGATGCTAATGTTTTTACACACAAACCATGTGTATTTGTAATTTTTTTGTTTTCCTTTTATTTTATATTCCTCCTATACGTTGAAACTGTTGTTTTTGTTTTTTAAGAGTTTTTTATTTATTTTTTTAATTGGAAAAAATGTTTTTGTTTCTAAATATATTTTATAATAAAATGTGTTTTTAAAGCTAATTTTGTTTTTATTATTAAACGAACTTTAAAATAACATATTTTTTGTAATCGATAAACGTTCGAGTATGGTATTTGCTGTTTTAATTTAAGTAGTGATCACAGTAGCAGCTTACAATCACTGTGATTAACAAATCACAATAGCGTTTCGCAGTGTGATTAAAAAATCACCGTTTTGCTCATCACTAGTACCGGCAGACGATCGGGAATCAGCTGACTGATGGTGGCTGGTAGCTGTGAAGCGCTCGCTATCAATCAGACAATTTTCGCTATTATAAGTTATACTTCTGTTAACTAGTTACTAACCACGATAATTGTTTTTTATGTAATAAAAAATTATTGTAAAATTGTTGTTGTTGTTGTTGTTGTTGTGCCCAGTTGCATTGGCGTCCTGGCTTTTACGATATTGGTTAAAAGCACAGGTAAGTTTCTATTAATGTTTTAATTTAGCTACTCGTTTAATAATTGTTGCATTTTACAACAAGTACTGTTTTATTACAGTGTGTAAAATGCTTATAGAAACTCCAAAACATAACCTTACTTTTGTTTCTCTTATTTTTATACGTATTTCTATACGTATTTTTTAGGCTACCTAGTTATTCCAAGCATACATATTTTCCTTTTTTTTTTTGGTCACTTGTTTTTTATTTAATAAAATGTCTAAAATAACCCTGTCTCGGCGTTAGATGAAGAAAAATAGCACAAAATGTTCAAGATGCTTTAAAGTCAAATCATCTGATTCTATTATTTATAATAATTTCCTAGAAAATAATAAAAATTTAACTTTGAAGCTTTTAGAAAATATTTCACCTGAAATGCAGATATATGTTGGTTATAAGAATAGGGGTGAACCAAGAGACTTAACCGACCGAACGATTAGAAGTGCTATTCAAGATTGGTTCAAGTTAACTAAGGCCTGTCTAGGACACAACATATCCAAAGTGTGAAGCTAAGATTTTAATTTTCATATATATTTTTTGTTAGTTAAAGAAAAGTTTCGTTTAGTTTGTTATTCAGTATTTTAGTGTTTATTTTTTAGTACTTTATTGTTTTTTTTTTTTAATAAAATATTGTTCTGTACATATAACAAGTGATCAAAAAAATTTCCTAAATATTTAGGCCAATTACAACCAAAATAGAAACACGAGTAATGCCTATTTCTAGTGTATACACACCTGCTATGGATGAAATCCAAACTGTCATTTAAAAAATATTAACATTTGTCCATGGCCTCTTTTAGAAATTTTGTTTTGATCACTTTATTTAATTTGTGTTTGAAATACATTTAAAACAATCAGGTAGACGCATTTTACACATTAATAAAATAAGATAAATCTAATATAGACGTATAGTAAAACAGGATAATAAAAGGTAGATAAAGTAGTAATGTTAGACGTATAAAAAATAAAAAAAATATACGTTTATAGGGCGGACATTTTCACTTATATATTGGGTAGCATATCAACGGTATCCATACGTATATTGTAGTACTTAAAAAAACGTCTTTTATACCAAAGTGGATTCGTATAAATATACTACAACTATAAATCTAATATAAACGTATAGTAAAAACGTTTAATTATAGGTGGTGTTATGATATCTCACAATACCTTTTTTTATTTTTATTTTAATTTAAATTATAATATTAATTTACCTCGGCTTCCCACTTTATCTTTTAATTTGACTCAAAAATGCTCTTATCTCAGGGGTGTTTCAAGTTACGATATTAATATTATTTTAATTTATTTAAGTTAATTTAATTTAATTTATTTCAATTTTAGTTTTGATTTTAATTTAATTTTATTTTACTTCTATTTTAATTTTATTTTAATTTTATTTTAATTTTATTTTAATTTTATTTTAATTTTATTTTAATTTTATTTTAATTTTATTTTAATTTTATTTTAATTTTATTTTAATTTTATTTTAATTTTATTTTAATTTTATTTTAATTTTATTTTAATTTTATTTTAATTTTATTTTAATTTTATTTTAATTTTATTTTAATTTTATTTTAATTTTATTTTAATTTTATTTTAATTTTATTTTAATTTTATTTTAATTTTATTTTAATTTTATTTTAATTTTATGTTAATTTTATTTTAATTTTATTTTAATTTTATTTTAATTTTATTTTAATTTTATTTTAATTTTATTTTAATTTTATTTTAATTTTATTTTAATTTTATTTTAATTTTATTTTAATTTTATTTTAATTTTATTTTAATTTTATTTTAATTTTATTTTAATTTTATTTTAATTTTATTTTAATTTTATTTTAATTTTATTTTAATTTTATTTTAATTTTATTTTAATTTTATTTTAATTTTATTTTAATTTTATTTTAATTTTATTTTAATTTTATTTTAATTTTATTTTAATTTTATTTTAATTTTATTTTAATTTTATTTTAATTTTATTTTATATTTTAATTTTATTTTTATTTTAATTTTATTTTAATTTTATTTTAATTTTATTTTAATTTTATTTTAATTTTATTTTAATTTTATTTTAATTTTATTTTAATTTTAATTTTATTTTAATTTTATTTTAATTTTATTTTAATTTTATTTTAATTTTATTTTAATTTTATTTTAATTTTATTTTAATTTTATTTTAATTTTATTTTAATTTTATTTTAATTTTATTTTAATTTTATTTTAATTTTATTTTAATTTTATTTTAATTTTATTTTAATTTTATTTTAATTTTATTTTAATTTTATTTTAATTTTATTTTAATTTTATTTTAATTTTATTTTAATTTTATTTTAATTTTATTTTAACTTTATTTTAATTTTATTTTAATTTTATTTTAATTTTATTTTAATTTTATTTTAATTTTATTTTAATTTTATTTTAATTTTATTTTAATTTTATTTTATCAAAATCAACAATATAACAAAAAATGAAACTTATGAGTTGATTTAATCTTTGTACCCTGTATTTTGTAAATTATATGTTTAAATAAACAAACCTTTCTAAAGATCAACTTGTTTAATTTACAGAAATCATTATGGAACAATCTAACAAATTTTATATATTCTAATATCCTTTTAAAATTATATATAACTAATACTACCCTACTACACCTACTGAAGTACAACTCTGTTCAAATTACAAAATCAAATAACTCATATTTGATTAGCCTTTCAAATTGAAACAATTATGAAAAATTATTAAAACTATTATTATGTCTATTTTCAACAAAACTTATAATGAATACCTTTTATTCCTTTTTTAAGGAATAGTCAAAAAACTTGCACAATTAAAATGTTTATAAACGGCGTACTCACGGTCTTGGTCGACTTCTATCCAAATTGTCCTTGTACTCAAATCAACTCCTTCATCAGTTGCCTATCATCATATGTACATTTTACCTTCTTGTGTAATTTATACTTCTTATTACATTTTAGGAAGTTTTTTTACAGGTTTGCTTATTTAAATTCTTCTATCTATCTTTTTTAACGTACAATTCTCTCTTTTAAATTTCTGACATTAATTTTTTTTAACATTTCAAAATTGATTAACTTTCAAAAACTGACTTTTTTTTTCATCTAGAAACCATTTTTTTTCTCTTTTAGTCTGCTTCTCATAAGACTTCTTACATTATTTTCATAATACAGGGTTATTAATTTATTACTATTATTATTGTTATCATCATTATTATTAGTATGGTTATTATTATTATTATTATTAATTTATTTCATTATTTTAGAACACAGGGTGTTTATATAACATATCAGTGGATACATTCTTAGTAATCGACGTTTATAAGGCGGACATTTTCACGAATATATTTGGTAGTACATCAACCGTATTCATACGTATGGTAGTACCTAAAAAAAAAACGTAATTTATACCAGTGTGCTGCCTGGGATGGCTTTGATTCAACATCGTCTGTAAGAGCTCTTTCACACGAGGATACTGTATGCGAGATACGCGTATCCGAGATACAGAATCGCAGTCGAAAAGTTGGGCTGCTGTATCGAATTCACGCATCTCTTCAATCAGTACTAAAATAGTAGCATTGCCGTGCATATATTTTTGAATTATGGATCTAGAAGAGTGTATTATACTGAAGTATATAATACAGTGACACACATAAAATGAGCATCGTATGAGATTTTTTTCTAAATGCTGTAGATGAATTTTGACTTTGCCATCTTCTGTTGCTTTAAAAATGATAACGAATGACATGCAAATTGACAATCACGTGATCTTTTTAAATGTCCAAAATAACATTTTTTTTTTCTAAAAATTGCAAAAAATGGTATTAATTTCATAAATTGCTTAATAAAAAGTTGCTTATTATGAAAATGTTTACCCATATAGCCCGTTAATAGTTAACCTGACATAATTTTTAAAATGTTACTTTGTACTAAAATCTTTTAAATAATGTTTTCACATACAGTTTAATCGATTAAACTAGATGCACTTAGGATACCCTTGAAAAATATCCTGCGCCTATGACATAATCTCCGTTGCAAAAGTATCTATGTCTGAAAAAGTCCATATATTATTATCGTAATAGTAATTCGGTATGCGGCATACGCATTCAGCCTCCGCGGCTGGAGGTGCCGGGATCAGTGTTGCCAGTCTAGTACAATTGTACTAGATCTAGTACATTCTCTAAGAATCTGGTACTCTAGTACACTCGA